AGCGGGTCCTGGACCCTGATGCCTCCCCCCCCTGGACGAGATCTTCATCCTGAAGCGTTTTCTGACAACCCTTGGGCCCGTGGTGATGAGCCTGTTTTCCATCACCACCACCGTAAGTTGGAGGGGGGAAGGAGGAGGAGGAGGAGGAGGAGGACCCCACCCCCCCAACTTATGGTGGTGGTGGTGGTGGAAAACACGCCCATCACGTGGAGGGCCCCGAGAGCCCGAGCACGGTGAAACACCTCAGGACCCACTTCCCTCAGGGCCCGTTTCCCCCGATTGCGATCCGCGTGCTGCTTGCCTCTCTCTTGCCGTTGATGCTGCCGGAATGGGATGCTTAGATTGGCCATCCGAGGCTCGTGCTCAACGTTTCTCCATCGTCTTCCTCCTCCTTGGGCAGCACGCCCAGGAGGGGTGGGGGAGGGGTAAGGCGTCTTAGGAGACTCCTTCTTAGAACGCGTCGGCCCCACATCTGCGGATACGGCCTGCGCCTTGGACTTTTTAAGAAACTGTCCCCCCTCCCCCTGCCTCCCTCTGCGCGTGGCTGGCGCCTCCCGGTCCCCCGACCTTCTTCCTTCGCAGGAGGCCCCAACAGAGGGCCCAACACTGCAACAGGTTCTCGAGGACTTCCCAGAATCCCCATCCCGCTTGCCTGCCTGGACTTCCTGGGCATCACATCGATCTTCGTCGTCCTCCTCCGATGAAGCGTACTCGGACAAAACGTGCAATCCAGGTCAAACTCGCCCTGTCTACATGTCGCAGTCGACGGCAGGCGTAAGCCTCTTGAACAGGAAGCGACATTACGAACGCAAATCTTCACACTGGACAGCTTGGAACGACTCGGATGACACTACGCTTGACCACACCGGGCCCTAACGTGCGCGACAAGACGACACCAGATCACACCAGTCAAGTAAAATTGATGTCCCACAAGAGCTGAGTTAGAAACTTGTCCATGCATGGTCCGCAGGGCAAGCGCGAAGCGTGGATGATACTGCCTGACAGGGCGCGCACATTGCAACGCGCCTGAACCAAACATAGCCTGCCCTCCCAACCACATTTCCATCTGAACATTTGCTCGCTGCCAACCTCCGTTGGCACGCCTGCAGAGGCGGCACATCATCCAAGGATGGCTCAGCAGAACAGTGGCTGATGGAACCCCTGCTGCTGGAACCAAGGCTGCTGGAAGCCGCCCATGCTTGGCTGATGCTGAAAGCCGCCCGTGCTTGGCTGATGCTGGAAGCCGCCCATGCTTGGCTGATGCATCCCCATCTGGGGCATCTGCATCTGCAACTGCGCCTGTGGCTGCATCCCTGGATGTATTCGTGGATGCCTTCCTGGATGCATTCCTGGATGGCCACCATGGTTGTGCAACTCCACCTCCCCGCGAACGCCGCCCGTCACGACCTTCGCCTGCTGGCGCCGCGCCTCCTCAATCAACTGCTCCTGACTGATGCTAGATCCGGGCACGGAGGCCAGTATTCCTGCAACCTGGATGAAGCACGAGGCCCACATGAATGCGTAGCCGTATGTAGGCCCAGCTCCCTGGTCGGTGACCCTAACACGTCCTAGTTCAGACAACCCCATTTTGTTCCGGCTTATATCGTTCAAATGCATGACGACCTTTGCGTAGTACATGGCGAGCACTGCAACAACAACGAGTACGCCTGATGACTGCAGGACGACCTTGCACTGCCTGTACTTGTTTCTCCGGTATGACTTCATACAGTAGTTAAACGTGTACTCTGTCGTGCATTGCAGTATGATGTTCGCGACAAAGACGAAGACAAGCGCAAGGCCGAGCGCCGAGGCACTGTTGAACCCCTCGCACAAATTTTGAGTCGCCGACCAGATGGCGCCATAGCATGATCGCCGCGCGAAGACCTCCAGTGTTAGATGCCCCTCGAACTTTTCGCATACCCAGTAGGGCATTGGCCACTCGCACTCCACTTCCACGGAGAGCACGTGCGTCTCCATCCTGAAGAGCGGGGCGAACCCCGTGTACCACCACAGCGAATGCATAGGCAGACAGAGAGCTGTAAGACCACAAATGGTGGCCACGCCAGTGAGACCAACCGTGGCATGGACGTGGCCCTTAAGCCAATCGGTGCTGCTGGCCCGCGGCCGGATTGGCATGAGCGCCACCGGATACCCGCGCGCCCGCGCGTGCGGGGTCTGCAGGCGGGGGCCAAAATGGCTCCAAGGCAGAGGGCGGCCCGGACAAGGCTTAGGTCGGGCATGTCCCGTTACAGGCGGAATTTAGAAGAACAAATAGAAATAGTAAAGAAATATTCAAAACAAAAATTCAAACATCGTCCCCAGACTACTTGACAACTATTTCTCAATATTCCTCCTGTAGAGGGACAGGCGCGATGCTTGGAGGCTTGGCAATTCGGGAAACAGACAATGACATAAGCATAAAACTCAAAGGTCCGCGCGAGATCCGCGCGGATTCCTCGGACCGGCGCTGGTGTCCCCTGGTGGCGCCTCCGGCGACGCCACTGGAGCCTGGCGCTCTCTGTGCGCCAGGGATGGAGGTCCAGCGCCGATCCGAGAAATCCGGGCGGACCTCCGAGTTGTCATGTTTATGTCATTGTCCGTTCCACCAGACTTGGAGGCTCGGCACTGGGCACAAACACCACAGCAGGAGGGTTACCTCCGCCAGGATCAGATAATCTTAGATGTTGGTGGTAATCTTTCGGACATCCTTTGAAGCCAGGGTGTGACCACCATCACCAACCTCGGGATCATCGTCCCTCGTTGGAGGCAGGCCGCCGACCTTGGTGCTGGTGTCAACCTAATGGCCTCCGAGAGACCAGGCAAGGGAAAGCGTGGAACGCGCGCTGGAAGTCTGAGGCGCGGTCTGCCCTGCCCGAGGCAGGACTGTGCCGAAGGGGCCCCGAGTCATGTGCTGCACGTCCACTGGCTCTGGCGGCTTGGGCGCGAACCAACTGGGGGCTGATGCGGCAGGTGCGTGTCGTGTCGACTTCGGCATTGGTTCCCGACACCGCGGGGACCCTTCAATCTTGAACGATCGGCCGTTTCCGAAACGTCCAAATCGTTCCACATCGAACGATTCTGGGTCGCCCGTGGCGTTCAACGTTGAACGCAACTGGCGGGGTCGCCGCCAGTCGACGCTACATGAACCTACCGTGCATGGACGGGGGGGAGAAAGGTGCCTTCTTCGGGCCCTGAAAAAAACCCTTGGGGGCCCCCCAAAGGCCCCCTCTAAGGACCGTAAAAGGCCCCTTTGCGGCAACCCTCGCTGCCCCGCCGGATATGGGGAAACCTAAAGGTACCGCTACAGCTACCTCCCGGACCTCGTGTCGACAAGGGCCTCCCAAGAAACCCCAAAATCAGAAAACGGACGAAGAGTAGAGGTATGGGTACCTTTTCCTCCGGTGGCCCGGGATTTGTTTTGGGGGTCCTCCCTAGAAGTCCCTCGGCTCCACGAGCGTCGCTTGTGCACAGAATGCTTGGGTAACCTGGGTTGTTCCTGGATCATTCGGGCTCCTTGGGCTGCTTTGCAGTGCGCGGGGCAGCATTGCATGTGGTTCGGTTCGCACTCTTCAACGCAATCCTTCGTAAAGTTGTGCTGCATCGCTGTGAATTGAATGCGCCTCGCTTTGTACAGCGTCGCTCTGTGTTGCGTTGATGTACGTTTCTGTGCAGCGCAGCGCGTTGCATTGGACACAGTCGCTTTGGTTGGATTCGACTTAATCTGTGCACGTGGAGTCGCAATACTGCGTCTTGCGTTGGCACTGTGTATGTCGCATTACCACTGCGATTGCATTCCCTCTGCTGTGCATTACTTTGCTTCGCGGTTCACATGCGTCGACACTGCGTTCCACATTGCCCAGCAGCTTGCTACAATGTTTTGCAGAGCTGCTCGTGCCATTGTGCTGCCGTGCTTTGCACTGCTGGGCATCGCTGCGCGTTGCATTGCATGTCGCTGCTGGCACTGCAATTGTATGATTTGTGTTGTGGTGCGTTGCATGCGTCGCCATTACCCCGTTAAACGTGCATGAACCTGGTCCTGATCCAGAATTAACAGGTCGGGTTCGGACACGCCCTCCCCTTCGTCCCCGCCTCCCGTCACCTCTCCTCCCATCGCCATCCCCCTTTACCATGATTGCTTGATCCTTCGTACGCACACTTCCCCTCGTGATGAAATGTCCGCTTCGAAGGGCGCGATCTGAATACCACCATTGGCCCTGCAGGGAATAGCGGGCTTGTTTCGGGGATATCACAAACCATCTGGTTAGGCTCCACGGGGTAATTGCAGCCCACTGCGTACGTGACGAAGCAAGGCTCGCTCGGCGTCTTCACTGACCTTCTCCTCCGCATTTGGAGAGTAGTAATCATGCGCTTGAAGAACTGTTGGAAACGCTGAAGATTCGCATTGAAACGAAAAGAACGACAGGAAACATCAGAGTAAGGGGGCCGAACGGTCAGTCGCTGTCCTTGGGTGCGTGGCTGAAGTGGGTTTCCGCGGTGCGGGTTGAACTCTCGTTTCTGGAGAATAATTATTGTTGATCCCCCCATCACCGGTGCATAATGTTCCTTCTCAATCAAAGTGCGCCCCTCGACGCTCGCACCCTGGTAATTGACAGGGAAAGTCTTTTTTTTTTCTGGGGGGCCGCATGGAAAACCACGACATCGGATCTCTGGGGAGTCTCGCGCGGCGCCCCTCCGAATTCTCGGGCCTCCGCGCAGTGCCGCCCGGCGGGGCCGCGGCGCTGAACGCACGGGCAGGCGAGGAGGAGGAGGAGGAGGAGGAGGAGGAGGAGGAGGAGGAGGAGGACATGGAGGTCCGCAGGCCCTGGAAAAAGAGGACCGGTGAAACTGCGGTGCATCCCCGCCTCGCTGTTGCAAGCAGAATTGAGGGAATGCCTGCTGGTCAGGGCAGGGGGAATGCTGGGATTGCATTGAATTGAATTCGAGCTCCTGGAGACATGTGCTTCAACAACTGATGCTGACAGTGCAGCTGATCAAATCACCTACCTGCTACACAACTGCGCGGGACGACGGCCAAACAAGCAAGACCGCTGGGGCGCTGTCCGAGCGATCCACGGCGCGAGGGAAAGCACGAGAGAGCAGCGCCTGAATGGCGGCGAAAAAAAAACTTCCCCCACCAGCGCGCGCTGCTTGTGGGGACACCAGTACATGCATGCTAGGCACGGTGATGGGCGCCACCCCTTCTCGACGCGAACTACCCGGCGGCCGAGGGGGCCGAGATTGACGCTGATATCGCCTCGGCGTCGGCACGAAACAAAAAGCCTGGAAGCCCCGAATCGGTCGCAGCCCAGAAGGAGCACCAGGAGCGTGAGCAGGACGAACAAAAGGGGGCTCGAACACACACTCTCGCGATCAATTCGAGTAAGCGCCTGCTGCCAGCTGAACTCGGCGGACGCTGGCTGACGATACTGGGTCCCCACCGCCATCTCACCCATCTGCCTGACCGTTTCCCAGCCTCAGGGCGCCTGAGAAGAGCTGGAGGCACTGTCGGCGGTGAGACCGAACCCCCCGAAGCGACAGGCCGAACTGTAGCAGGTGCCGTGGGAGGAAGGGAGGGAGGAGGAGGAGGATGAGGAGGAGGAGGAGGAGGAGGAGAAACAAGAGGTCTGCGCCAGGTAATTCCTGGAGGGACGCGTATTGGATTGGAGCACCACGGCCAAGAGAGCGGCCGCACTGAGCACCAGGAGGCCTTCTCATGGAAGAGGCCCTGGAGCGAGATGGCACAGAACGCGGCGGGTGTGCACCGCCCTTTGTAGCTCCTGCGAATAACAGATTTTGCGGGGCCGCCGACGAGTATGAACGCAAGAGCATCGCGTCTTCGAGAGCAGAGTAGCTCTCCAGTCAGGAGCGCGACGCCTCTGCGCGAGAGCATCAGAAGCGCAGGGGGCGTCAAAGCACGGAGGTGGAGGAAGACGAGGACGACGAGGGAGGACAAGGAACAATGAGAGGAAACGGGGAGAAGCGAGAACGACCGCCCCCACCACCATACCGCCAGCGAGGATGGCGAGGCGGCTGGCAAGGCGGCCCAACATCGCTGTGCAAGGGCCGCATGCCTCAGACACCTGCCTCTACATTCGCCACAGAGCAGCCATTGTCATTCCCCTTGCATCAATCAGCAGACCACTGCTCCTGCCCAACTTCCTCCTCGCCCTCCTCGACCCCTTCTCTAGTACCCCGCCCCCTCTCCTCCTTCTCCACCTCCCGTTCCTCCTGCCCTCAGAGAGGGACAAACTGCCGTATGGACTGAACGACGTGTAACGAGCTGTGATGGCACCGGATCTGCTCGTCCAAAGACGCAACCACCTTGAGATTGACTTCCTTGTCTTTCGCGTTGGTGACAAGGATATCGTCGTGCGAGAGAATCGTGATTGCTTCTTGCGCAGTGGCCCTGTGCCAATACTCTAGTACCTGTGCAAGGTTGGCTTTATCGTGCCCGCCAGCCGAATGTATGCCGTGGACTTGCACTCGGAGACGATCGTCGCTAGCAGGAACGAGCCCGTGAGGTGTCGCCATTTTGGTGGCAATCCAACACTCCACATTTGGCCAGAACCGCTGGTTGTAGATCCGCTCGTACAGGACGATCACTTTGCACCCGAGGAAGATGAATGGAAGAATGTGTTTTAAAATCATCTTGAATTCAACCTCCTCCTCATCGGTGCGCCCACCGTCGTGCCATTGAGGAGCACAGATCCAGTCAATCCACAGCCACTTAATGGAAGGTGTACGTGGCAAGACCTCTTGCAATTTACTCAACTTGGTGCACTGCGGATCGAAATGCTCTGCCACTGGCCAACGATGTGACACGGCCGCTGTGTCAACGCAAAGGTTTCCAGACAAGACGTCGTCGATGTCGATCCTCCGCTTGACCAACAATCCCATGTCACGGCACGTCTGATGGCGTGGGATTGGAGCGTCGACCGGCATGAGCATGATCTCGCTCACGGGGATGAACCAAAAATCCATGCTCTTAGGTGGGATGACGTAGGTGACGGTAGAGCCGAGGGGGTAGCCGTTCGCCAACCCGCTGGCCAGCGTGATCGACCCGATGCTCACAATGAGCCCCGACTCGCGGTTGCCGCCGCCCTCGATTTCGATGGAGCCGCCGACGTCGAACCCCACCGTGGACTCCACAGGCAGCTCGGTGTCGCCTGCTGCCACCGAAGACGTCAGCGAAGTCGATGCCAGTGCCGCAGTCGTGGTGGCGGTATCTGCAATCGCACTGGCAGTCATGGTAGGGGGCTCAGCGGTTGCAGTCCCAGTCGTGGTGGCGGTATCTGCAATCGCACTGGCAGTCATGGTAGGGGGCTCAGCGGTTGCAGTCCCAGTCGTGGTAGGAATTTCGCTCTCGGTAGTCCTGGTCCCAGTCGTCGCAGAAGTCGAGGTCGTTGTTGAAGAAACGCACGCCTGGACATCTTTGACTATGTGGTAATTCGTAAGACTACCTGTTCTTGCAGTGAAGCTCAACTGGCCACTACCAATGGGAATCGAATAGTTACTAATCCAGGCGGTCTTGTAGTAGTAACTCTCATCTAAGTTCAGCGCGACCACCGCACCACCTCCCCTCGGCGTGACTTTTACAATGACGCTGTGCCAAGCGGAATCCTCGAAGAGGGGAACCTGCTCATCCCAATATTGTTCGCCCAGCTCTGAAAACACAATATCTCCATTCCACGAAATGTCCACGCCACGATCCGGCCCGAAGGAATCAAAACAAACAGACAGGCCATCCTCAGACCTATCCTCCCACCTCTCATCGTCATAACCACCGTACTTCACACAGCACCCGTCAGCACCTGTTCCACCACCCTGGTACATATCGAACTGAATCAAAAAAGCACCCGACAGTGCGAGAGTCGAAGAGACCCGCCCAAGGGATGATTGTTGATCGGTTGTCAACACTATGGAATCATCATCTATACTATGATACGACTGGTACTCGTAAACGAAAGTGCTTGCACGAATCGAAGTGCAAGACCACGGAAAAGGTGTTGGAGCTGGCGTCGGTGGAGCAGGCGTCGGTGGGGCGGCGCACAGTCTCCAGCCGCTCTGGGTTATGGTGTGATCAGAAGTCCAGCTGATGCTGGATGTCGGCGTGATACCGCTGGGCCCAGCACTTCCAGAGTAAAACTGTCCATTGACAGTGAGATAATCGAAAGACGCCTCCGTGTTGAAGCTCTCGACTATGATAGGCGCTGAAAACTCCGCACTGATCTCCAAAATGCACCCCTGATTACTGTTATAATTCTGCGGGAAATTATGGCTCTCCACGCAAGAACCATCCAACGTGCAATAGCCGGTGACAGCTGCCCACATACTGTACTCCTGGGCCACAGGGGACGGGGTTGGCGCGACTTGAACATACACGTAAGTCTGCGAATCGATGCAAATCCTATCAGTCATTCCGCTCAAGCAGTCATCAATCCATTCCTGAAATGTTGCAGTGTATCCCCCGCCGCAATCATCAGCCCAACTACCTGCAGAGTAAACACATGGCCACAACAGGACCGCGCCCGATTGGGTCGACGATACACTGCTGGTTGGAGAATTCTGGCAGCACGAGACCTGCTCAGTGGCCAAGACTAGCTGGAACTGGCCATCGCTCGTCGTGAAAGCCGAGGTCCGTGGTTGAACCTGACTCGAAGCCTGGCACAACCTCCAACCACTGCCAGGCACACTGTGGTCTGACACCCACGAGATACTCGTTGTCGGAATCATTCCACTGGGACCCCTAGCTCCAGAGTGCTGCACTCCGTTGACAGTGAGCGTATCGAAGTACGCCTCGGTGCCGAAAAAATCCACCGCGAGGGGCGCCGAGAAAGCCGCACTGATCTCCAAGGTGCACGTCTGATCCACGCCGTAACTCTGTGGGTAGTTTGGGCTCTGCACGCAGACGCCGTGAAGCGAACACTCGCCGATGATACTCGCCCACATGCAGGCCGCATCGGAAGCAGGCGTCTGGAACGTGGGCGCCGGGCCTGTCCTCAGGCTGGGCATCTGGCTGGGCATCGGGCTGCGGATCGGACTGGCCGTCGGGGCAGGCGCCGGAGTCAGCGGCTTGCCCGCGGGCGTGGATGCCACGGTGGCGACCAGGGCGGAGAGCACGACCAACCCACCTGGGCGGCGTACCATCTGGGCGGATTCGCTCCAGGCCTGAGGGTTATAACCAACGGATGCTTGTATTCCCTAGTTCCTGGCTTGAGCCAAAATGGATACGGATTTCTTGACAGGGGAAGTCTTGATGGTCAAACTGTGCACCTGGCCCCCGGGATAAAACAACAACGGCTCCCGCCTGAGACTTCCTTACAATTTAGCCAGGACCCCCGCTCCCGCCCGAGAGCCCCTCGCATTTTATTCAGGAATCGCGCTCTCGCTTGGGACTTCCTTACAATTTATTCAGGAACGCTCTCCCGGCGCTCTGGAGTCGCGCTCTCGCTGGAGACTTGCTTGCCATCTGCTGAAGAATAGCGCCCTTGCGTTGGAATCTCCTGCAGTTTACTCAAGCGCCGCGATCCCGACACCCAGGCACCCAGGAGTCGCACTCACGCTTAGGATTCCCTTACAGATTACATGGGAATCGGGATCTCGCTGCCCTTCGTGGCCCCGTTGCAGCCCCTCGTGGCCTCATCGCTGCCCTTCGTGGCCCCGTTGCAGCTCTTCGTGGCCCCCTCGCTGCCCGTCGTGGCCCCTCCCGCTGCCCTCCGTGGCCCCCTCGCTTTGTTTCGTGGCCCCGTTGAGGCCCTTCGTGGCCCCGTTGCGGCCATTCCTGGCCCCTCCCGCTGCCCTTCGTGGCCCCGTTGCAGGCCTTAGTGCCCCCCCCCCCTCGCTGCAATTCGTGGCCCCATATATGCATGCCCTTCGTGGCCCGCGCTCGTTCGCGCTCTTGTGGCCCCATACGCATTCCCTTCATGTCCCCGCTCTCGCCCTTCGTGGCCCCCTCGCTGCCCTTCGTGGCCCCGTTGCTGCCCTCAGTGGCCCCGTCCTTGCCCTCCGCGGCCCAATATACGTATGCCTTCCGTGGCCCCCGCTCGTTCGCGCCCGCTGTGGCCCCATGTGCATGCCCTTCGTGGCCCCGCTGTCGCCGTTTGTGGCCCCCTCACTGTCCTACGTGGCCAAGTTGCTACCCTCAGTGACCCCATCGTTGCCTCCTGTGGCCCCGCATTATCTGCCTTTCGTGGCCCGCGCTCGTTCGCGCTCTTCGTGGCCCCATACGCATTCCCTTCGTGTCCCCGCTGTCGCCCTTCGTGGCCTACTTCGTGTCCTTCGTGGCGCTGCTGTCGTTCTCTCTCGCTCTCGCTTTCGCTCGTCGTCGTCGTCGTCGCCGTCGTCGTCGTCGTTGCCGTCGTCTTCGACGTCGTCGTCGTCGTCGTCGTCGGTTCCCTGTGCGTCCCTCTTGGGGTCGGGTCGACGGTCCGCGGCCGCCCCGCCGATCAGCGCTGCCGCTGGCCAGGTCGACGGTCCGCAGCCGCCCCGCCGCTTGCCGGGGCCCGGCCTGCAGGGAAGAAGGGTATAACCCCGAAAAGGGCTTCGATCGAAGACGACGAGGGCGGGTATCGAGGGTTTGAGAAATACGCGTTATTGGACACTCGAGCAGATAAGTACGAACAGTCTTAACATGATTGTTCCTGCTGTTGCTGAAGTTGTTGGTGGTGTTCGTGTTGCTGTTGTCATCATTAATGTTAGTGTGGTTGCTGTTGTGTGTGTGAGTGTGTGTGTGTGTGCTGCAGCTGTGTTTGCCGTTGGTATTAGTGTTGTCATGTGGATTGTTGCTTTTGTGCTTGTAGTTGGTGTGTCTGGTACTGTTGTTTTTGTTGTCATTGCTGGTCTTGCTGTTGTTGTTGTTCAAATCTGGCTACTGAAGAATAATGATGGTTGATCCCCCCGCCTCTGGTGACCATTGTAACTTTCAATTGAAGTGTTTCCCCTGGGGCTCGCACCCTGCTTCTTTTAATCAGGGGAAATCACTCGGTTCAAACTGTGTTGTTAGCCCCACAAACAACACCAACAACGGCTCCCGCATTTTCTTGCCTCACAGGTGATTCCTAAATCGCGCTCTCGATCGGGACATCCTCCAAATTGTTTCAGGCATCGCGCTCTCGCGTGGGACATCCTCGCCATTTATTCAGATGCCGCGACCTCGACATTCAGGAGTCACGCTCTCGCTATGGCATTCCTCAAGATTGGTTTGGGAATCGAGGTGTCGCTCAAGACTTCCTCGAGATTCATGCAGGAATAACGCTTGAGCAATCCGCCTGCTCGCCCTTGCCGCCTGGGCCCTCCTTCCCGGCCCGCCTGGTCGGGTCTATCCGCCCGATCTGCCCGTAAGGTTCTGCCATGTGTTCTCTGCTCCTCGCCCATGCTCCATCCTCCTCCCTCCCCTTGTCCGTCCTTGGAATCGTCTGGGAAATCTTGAACGGTATCATACTCATGATAGGTTGCTCTTCTGATCATCCCCCTCCCCTCTCCCTCCTTCCACCTCGTCTGCACGGCATGCAAACCTCTTTTCAGAACATCTCGTCGTCTGCCCCTGAAGGACCGTCTCGGCATCCAGAGCCTGCACGCAGACCGAACCGAACCGAAACTCCTCCACCTCAGACCCTCTCCGTCTTTGGGGAGAAAACAAATACGGATACCGTTACTCCCCCGACCTCGTCCAGAAGCCTTCTTACAAGAATTTCGAGGCGAGTCCAGCCGTGGCGACGAGGGACTTCCAGGAAACCCAGGAAAAGCGAACATCGGGAAAGTAGCAGTACAGTCATCGTACTACCATGCGAAACGCATCAGACAGAACGAAGGGGCTTTCTGGCCACGGTGGGCCTAGACCACAAACATGTTCCCCGACATACGTAAACCTAAAGAACGGCAGAAAAAATCGAGCCCCTCCTGAGTCCAAAGCGGTCCCTATGTCATCCTCTTCTGACGACTTCGGCGTTGGTTTCGTACACCGCGGGAATCATTCCACCTTGAACGATCGGCCATTCCCGAAACGTCAGATCGCTCAACATCGGCCGATTCAGGGTCTCAGGCGGCGATCAGCGTTGAACGCCGGCGGCGGAATCGCCGCCGGTCGAAACGACGCGAACCTACCGTATATACAGTCATCGGCCTGACCTAAGGAACGATAAATAAGGAACGAAGCCCTTTTTTATCACAAGGAATAACGCATAAGAAACGATAAATAACAAATAACGCATAAGGAACTGTAAATAACGCATGCAAACCTAAGGACCGACCGAGCCCCTTTTGAAAAGTAGGCGTTCCTTATTCAAGCCGCTCACTGTATTCCTCCTCTGACGACTGGCGACCCCCGCTGGCAGGGGGGCGCGGGGGGGCCACAGGACGACGTCCGTCTTCGGCGGCAGCTCCTGCTGCCGGCAGGCGCTGGGCGAACCCGAGGCCTGGGGAGCAGTGCCGGGCCCGAGGGGGGAGCAGCGGGAGGAGGGAGGATTCGGATGTGGACTCAGAGCGATTTCGGAGGCCTCGAAATTGGCACCAACACCAAGACAGGGGGCTGCCTCCACAGGGGGAAGATGATCCTAGATTCTCGGTGTTGGTGGTAATAGTTCGGCCACCTTGGAAGCCAGAATATTACCACCATCACCGAGATCGGGATCTTCTTCCCTCGGTGGAGGCACACCGCCGAAATTAGTGTTGGTGTCAATCTCTAGGCCTGCGACGATTGACGCTCAGCCTCATGCCCCTCCTCCTCCTCATCCTATTCCTCCAGGGAGGTGTAGTGACCGAAGCTGGGCCCGAAACTCTGCCCGAATGTGATCGAGACTGGCGCCCGGAATCTTCGGACCGCGCCCGAGTGTGTCTGGGATGTTTGGTTCGATGCCAACACGATGTGCAATTTCGGTCAAACTTTCGGCCACGCGGTCACACTACGCTTTCGGTCACAATTTCGGGCACGTGATCGGCCACATATTTTGGGTTACATGCCTTTTTGGCTGATAGGGGCGGGGCGCCATGACGATTGCGAAGCAGCTTCAGACAAGACTGACTACGTCGGATGAAGCCTCCTCTCGAATCGAGAGTTACTCCCTCCGCTTCTTGTTGATGCTCAGAGCGTCACAAGGAGATGCCAAGGAGCTGCTCAGGAGGCGGGAGGCGGAGGAGGAAGGCGAGATCCCGAACGGCGACCGTATCCGTCGTCACACGGGGATGCCAAGGAGCTGCTCAGGAGGCGGGAGGCGGAGGAGGAAGGCGAGATCCCGAACGGCGACCGTATCCGTATCCGCGCCCTAGCGGTCAAGTTTCAGGGTCGCGATCCCTCAGATACGCGGTCACACGGATACGTTCCGCGTGGGGCATTCGCGAAACAACGCCCCATATCCGCGGGGTCGCGGCCAAGTGGCCCAGCCCGCGAGGCCGCGGTGATTTGTGTTAACCTTGTGATAACTTTCGACAACATCATTGGCGTCATCGTTTTCGGTTGGGGCCCATCCCCTCCCGCTGACAGGCAGTTTGTCCTGAATGATCTCAGGGTCAGTGCAGCTGCTGCCACAGAGATCGCACAGAATATACAGTCGAGGCGTTAACCTAAGGAACCCCAAATAAAGAACGAGGCCACTTTTTCCCCATAAGTTAAACTTCACTTTCCGATCGGAAACATGAGGACAACCCAAGGCAAGCTGCGAAACAATTAAGGAACACGGAGCCCCTCCCCAACGAAAAGGGTTCCTTCTTCAAGACCCCGACTGTAGACGAAAACGGGCATGTGTTTCATCAGTGGCAAGTGGACCCTGTAGCTGCCGCCCTGTGCCAGTCGTTGCACGCAAACGCTGGGTTCGGAGTCGACGGAGTGCCGGGGCGAGTTGCTAGCCGCACAATTGGTCAGCATGGATGCTAACTTAGCGCATTGACGTTCAATGCAGTGTACTCCATGGCTTTCCATATGTTTCAGTGGATCCTGAAGAAAAGCGGATATCGCACCACGCCTGCCTGATGTAACCTCCCCTTTTGGGGCGTCGCCCTCGGAAATGCAGAGTCTCATCCTGCTTCCGTCGTTGACGCTACTTTTGTAGATGACGAGGCCCTCGTTCTACTCGTCTCCTCGCGTGCTGCACTGGACCATGCCTTTGAGACCCTGCCCGGGGCGTTGTACGAGACTTTTTTCCGACAACTTGCAGTTCGAATCCAATAGCAAACCAACTTGCGATACCGAGGCCCCCGCGCCTCCCAGCATAGAGAAGCCAGGCGGTGTGCTGACGGCAAGCTTCGGTTGCAAGTCCCTGGCTGGCCAGGGGTTGCAGTTGATATCGTTTGGCCTTACCCCCACATTGGCACTTACGCCGATGTTGATGCTAACACCTTCAGGAACGCCTCGCATCGATGTTCCAGCGCAATGTCCAAATATGCGCCGCTTTCGAATTAACTCTTTGGGTCTCACCTTGTGTCGTTGCCACACAGCCTGCCCGCAAGATGTACGGAAACTCAACGGCGTCTACATGCGCGTGCTGCGCAAGATCTGCGGGAACAACCGTTTCTCTGACAAGGTTCAGTGGACAGATTGCGAGGTCAGGCGACGGTTGAACCAATCCTCGCACGACTGACTCATTGCACGAGTTCGGCTGCTGTCATGGGAGCGTCTGACCCGGACTCGCCCGTCAATTTTGCATGCGTTTTTGCACATTCAGATCAGAGGCAAATCCTTGCCATGGGTCTCGAGGCTCATGCAAAATGCCGAGCATGCTTTGTCCTTCCTTGAGGTTACCAACCGTGCACAATGAGAACAAGCATGTTTCGCCCACGACGGGAGGAAGAAGGATGATAAGGAAGCACGAGCAAACAAGAATCGAACCGGCCCCGCCAATCTGCACGACAACATCACGCAAAAATCGGGCAGCACCATAGTGCTGGAACACCAGAATCGAATCCGAACTAGGCAGGCCGGCACCCATAATTAATCGGATCGATCGGATGTAAGTTGAATGAAAACTGGGAAGTGGAGGCGGCTGGAAGATCTGAGCTGGATGGGCCTCGAGAAAATCGGCGCCAAGAGGATGGATGAAACCAAATCCGCTGAAAATCGGCCCCCAGACCACAGACCCTCCTACGCAAAGAGTGACCCTTGGGCAAGAGTGACCTTTGGTGCGCGGCTGAACAGGAGACGCGGGGTGGTCAAACCTGAGCGCGCAATCCGCTGCTACCGCTTCGCGTTTAACGATCAGGGGACACCACTGGGCCCGCACCACAGGTTACTCTGGCACAAAAACGTCACTCTTGCGCCTGGTCGAACTCTGGATCCGTGCTTGACGGTCCTGGGGCCCGTCAAATGACAACGTCCTTGGCAACCCATGGGGGCCTCCCGTACCGTCCTGTCGGCTCTTGCGATTGGACGCTAGTCGACGCTAAACTGACGCTAACCGACGTTCAATACACGCTACACGACGGTCACCGACGCTAAACTGGCGCTATCTCATCGACTCCCAGACGCTCATCGACGCCAATCGACGCTATATGCGGAATTGCAACATGACTTGCCAGCGACAACCGATGCGAATCGACGCTGATCGACGCTGGAGACACCAAACTTCCATGATCTGCTGCAAACATTGAGCAGGGACCGACCGTCCCGGCATTCCTGTAGTGCTACCACGAAGTGTTCTTAGAACCCCAACATGTTCTAATAACAAAACCAGTGTTCTTAGTACATAAGCCCGATGTGATAAAACAAGACAGACTCCGCCAGAAATCCTGTAAGAACACTTCGTGCAGACCACAAGAGGTTCTTAGAACATTGCTGAATGGGGCTACAATCGGGTCGGGCGAAAGGGGGGGATAGCAGAGGGGGGGGGTGAGAATCAGCTCACGTAGCTGATTTTCCCGGCGCCTCCTGGCGCCGGCTATGTAACGAGGAATGGGCCAGTCGGTGAGGCCGAAACCAGCTGCACGCAGCAAATTTCGTAACCCCCCCTTTCCCAATGCCCCCCTTTCGTCCGGCCCAGTATAGGCGAGCCGAGACGCTTCGCCACTGCTCGACGACAGCACCGGGAGCAAGGAGGAAGCAGAGACTGAGACCGACACGGAGACCGCGGCTACGCCCTATGGGGCAGCCCGCGCTCCGCGCAGGCCCCGCTCCGATGCCGCCCGCCTGGCCCGCCCGGGGATCGGCCCCGCTCCTCGAGCCGAGCCAGGGGGAGTCTGTCGGTGGCGAGCGGGTGGTGGAAGTCTTTTTTGTTGGTGGGGGCGATCGCAACAGCTCTCAAGTCACCCAGTGCACTCCGTGGCGACGTCTACCCGGCCGGTCATGTCAGTTCTTCTCGCCAGTGCTTTTTTACTCCTGGGATGCTGTTGTTGAAGGGGAACTGGGACACACAAATAAATACACACAAATAAACATATCCCCTATATTGTCCTATATTTTCTGGGTTTTTGTCTTCCCCCCCACTTCCCATATTTTCCCATATTTTCCTGGGAATCGCCGATTAATTGTGTCTGTGTGTTTTTTCCTCTCCTGAGTTGTAAATGAAGCCGTTGGTCGATCTCTGCCGCGTGTCGAGCGGGTGGTGGAGGTGAGAAGGGGGCGGGCCTTCGCAGACGCTCGGGGTCGGAAGGCCCCCGGCCTTCCGAGAAGTGTTCCACGCCTTTGAAGGGGAACTGGAACACACAAATAAATACACACAAATAAAAAGATTCCCCATCTTTTCCTATATTTTCTGGGTTTTTGTCTTCCCCCCCACTTCCCATATGTTCCCATATTTTCTGGGAATCGACGATTAATTGTGTCTGTGTGTTTTTTCCCCTCCTGAAAGACGCTTCTCAAACGGCGCGAGGGCGTCTGAGAAGTCCGGCCGCCTTCTGAGAAGGCCTTCTCCTTCTGACTTCCCCCCTCGCTCGCCGCAGAGTCTGAGCTGAGCTGAGCGAAACCTTTGGGAACCTGTGTCAACAACATGCTCGAGCCCTCTGCAAGTGTAAACCCGCGTCTGGCATAGGGTCCACGAAGAGGACGAGGAGGTGAACGCGGGCGAAGAGGAAGGCGATGAAGACGAGGGCGAGAACGAACACTGAATACTGAACAATCGGACCATCAGTCCCCTCGCGCACATAGACCAGCCTCAAGAACCGAAACGCCGCCCAAGACGAAAACCAATTCTGTCCAAAGACGCGCCCAAACGTTGCACAAAATGCAAACAAAAACCTGAGGCAAGTTCTGCCCAAACTTCTTCCCATGCTTGCTTGCCACAGGGCTGTCTTTTTTGATCGCAAAAGCTTTGGGCGGGGCATTTTGGTCAGCACGTTTGCATCGTAGCCAGCGGTGTTCGGGGCTGTTTTTGGCTGGGCCCTGGTCTTCGGCAGACCCTGTTTTGGGACTGCGCCTGGGGGGCGCCCGAGGACTAGTATTCGGTCGGGCATGTCCTCCTACAGGGGGATCTTGGACGGCAAATGAACGTAC